TATCATTTTACTGCTAAACTACACAATACACATCTAGAATACAATCGTCTAGCATACACATCGTTATACAATACACATCTAGAATACAATCGTCTAGCATACACATCGTTATACAATACACATCTAGAATACAATCGTCTAGCATACACATCGTTATACAATACACATCTAGCTTGCTATATCGGCTTACAATACACATCATTATATACTTTTATAATACTTATTGCGTTCCACCCGTCGTATGGTACCTTAATGGTACGCGACCTCGCGACGACCTCGAATATCCGCTCAGCTCGCTTGCTGGTCTCGTTGTTTTTATAAGCCGAAATTCCATCACAACTTTTTGCTAATCACCACGCGCTCGGTTACAGCTGTTTGCTGCCGCGCAACAAACAGTATACGATTCAAAATTCAGAAATACGTGTACAGGTACACGCTAGAAATGCTGTTTTTGCTTCGCGATCCTCGCCTTAGTCGCGTCAGATGGCGCACTGCCGCGATATTTAACCTCTCTGAATATAGCTCGATTATTCATTATACATTGGCGTACTGCGCAGAACAAAACTCTACCTCATATATATCGCGCTCTTACCCCTCGATACGTGTAGCTATTAATATAGACAATTTCAACACTAAACACTTTAAATGAACACACATTCGCCTGTGCGATAATCATACAATACTGACGCGCGTTATTTCTAAAACATATTCTAACATATCTGTGTTTCGTACCATTCGTTAATTTTTCATTCTTACGGTAAACCTGAATAGGTGCTCCTCGTCCTTCTTCCCGCTGTAAGTTGAAGGTTCGCTGGCAGTTACTTTTCTCCTCCCTCCAGATCCTTCAGTCGTCGTCTGATCTCCTCGTCCTTCTTCCCGCTGTAAGTTGAAGGTTCGCTGGCAGTTACTTTTCTCCTCCCTCCAGATCCTTCATTCGTCGTCTGATCTCCTCGTCCACGTCCGTCTTTCGTCTCGCTAACTGGTGTAGCGAACGACGTAGGTGCTCCTGTCCACATCTGACCTCTGCGTCGCTCATCTCTCCCACCAGTTCGGTTCGCACCTGCCCCCACTCGTCAAGCCACCGTATATCCAGCTGCCACGGCCGGACGTTGAGGCTCGGAGCGGTCAGTTCCAATCGCCGACGTTGTCTTGCCGGTTCCTCGTCTCCCATTCCTACCGCTACGGGAAGAGCGAGAGTGCCGGCCCCCACCATCCCTGGCTGGGTAGAGCTCGGCCTTCGCTCTCGCTTTAGTGTTACTCCCGTACTTAGATCAGAATCGACTTCTGCGCTCCGTTGTGACAACGGTCCCTCTATTCCTGTCGATAATTCGTCGCTTTCCCCTTTCTCATCTCGGCGAACTATCACACGCTCATCGGACTTCGGTATGTCGGGCTTCCCGATTTCTTCTTGAGGGGGCTCTATCTCTGCTGTGGCTTCCTGACTAATGACACAGGGGGGTTCTACTCGTGATCGGCCTCGTTCTCCTGTTCCGGTGATTCCTTCGGTTTGTAGGCCTTCTCTTTTAAGACTAGCAGTATCCCTGTTCCGGTCAGCCTGACTCCGTCTCGCCCATTCAGCTGGCAGATCGCGCTCCCCGAGTGCGAACCCAACTCCTGGGCCCTTATAGTTGGGCACCGAACCGGGTGTCACTCGCCAACGGTTCGTCCCATCGTTGCCGTAGCTTCCGGTTCTTCGGTGCCTTTGGCGCAGATGAGTCTTCATCTTGTATTCTGTCCTTGCTGTGCAGAGCCATGTACAACTGGCTACCGGACAATGAATGCGCCAGTCGCTCGCAGTGTGGAATTCCCACTCGTGATCCTGCGCATGCCGTGTAGGCACTTGGCACCCCCAGCACCAAGCCCAACGGTTTGCTGGTACGTGCTTCGCTTTCCTACAAGCACCATCAAATCGTCTACGCGGGGGAGCAAGACCACGAGCCTGCTCACTCCTAGTAGGCGTCACCCTTCTAACTGCCTTCGGAGATCGCGGTTGTTCCAGAAACGCTGGCCACCCCTTCTTGGTCTCTCGTTCCGCTCGCTTTGGGTGCTGATCAGCCGACACCGGCCTAGCCTCCACCGGTCGAGTGTTCGCCACTCCGCCCTTTCCGGTCGTGCTGGAGAGAGATCGCGGTGCCCCCGCCGACTGAACCACGCCGCTCCAGCAATGTTGTTGGGTGGGGTAACTCTCCGCTACCCCTCTTCTCAGCCCGGCTTCTTATCTGGTTGGTCGGCGTGCGACGATGCTCACCCTTGCTCGTCCCGCCAGCCTCAGGCCGCGGGGACGCTCCTGCTGTAACGGGTGGCGCCTTTCCCCCCTCCTTCTTTTTCCCCACGGTAATTGTAAGCCGCTGCGTAGAGGGCACGGTCTTCACCGATTTTATTAGAGTCGCGTTCCTTTCCGCGCTCTCAGGTACG